TCTTCCCGATTGCAGCAGCGGAGCCACAGGAAGGGGGCCATCCAAGGCGAGGGCAGGAGCGGAGCATCAGTCCTCCGACTCCCCAGGAAGATCTGGACGGAGAGCTCGCACCCTGGACAGGGAGCTGACATCGCAGGAGGAGTGCTTCGCATCGCACAAACAGCTGATCCCCACCATTCAGTACTGCTCCATGCTGGAGGGGAGGAGCTCAGCAGGAGTCATACGTGAAGGTGCCAACACTTCTTCCCCCTTTTTGTTTTTTTAATGTTTGTTTTCTTACCTTATTCCTAGCTGACCATGATAACGGTTTCTCCTAAGTGTTTTCATTCACCCTGTCCTTTCTGCAGACAAGGAGGCCCACGGAGCCAACATGTTTTCTCCTCGCTCCAAGACCTGGACTTTCCCCAACCTGAAGGCTCCAGCAGGAACTGCAGAGGTGTACCTCGCTGTTGAGGAGGAGGAGGAAGAGGAGGACGTAGTGATGTTTGGATCGCCATTTAGAGGGGTGAGCACTGTGGATTCTTTCCATCTTTCATAAATGGAACTGAGGAGAAATCTACTTTAATACATCTGCAAAAAAATAGATTCAGAAAGACACTGTAAAGTAAATTTCTGTCAGTATTTAAAGTGAAAATTAGAAAATAGCACATCAATATGTTACAGTCACCTTTTGTTTTATATTAAGCCTGGCTTTATTCTTCTTAGATACAGCAAATGAGAATCCAGATTTCCTATTTTTTTTAAATCAAATCATACTAAAAAAAAGATTTTCGATGCATAAATGCAAGCCTACCAAAAAAGAAATCATACTTTCTTCTTATGTGCTTAGGACCAATTTGGGGCTCCTTTTTCATGAATTATTGCGTCAGTGTGGTGTAGCATGTATGTGATCAGCCCATGGCACTGCTGAGGTGCTCATGAAGTCTTGGTGGAGGGTTCCAGTGCATAGTGTGTCCCAATCCTCCAAAGCAGTCTCTGGCCCCGCCCCTTATGCACCCTGAGCACACATGAAAGCGGGCAAAGTCATTACTGCACGTGATGTTTCGAATAAAAAAGCAGAATTGGGGTGAAGATCAAGCTTCTGCTCGATTTTAATGAACATATAATTCCTCGTAAATCATCCACAAATCACAAAGTTTTTTTTTATTTTATTTTTTTATTCAGTCAATTATTCTTTTCATTTGTTTTATTGCTCATCCAGGAGAGAATTTGCAACAAAAAGAGAATTTTCATTAGATATCAGTAACTGAGGGGGTATTTATTGTGGAAGATTACTTAGATTTTAATACCAATTTTAAGAACATCTAACTAACCTAATTAAACATAATCTTAGACGATATTAAAAGCTATAACTCAAAAGTTAAATGCAATTATTAAAGTGTTTAAATCACTGTTTAAAATATTCACATTTATCTAACCTTCAAAAAGAAAATGGAAATATTCCTGACTTAGACTTCATAATAAATCTATGGTTTAATAGCTTATTTTTCAATGAAACCTTTTCTATTCAGTTATTATAAATAAATAAATAAATAAATAAATATAAATAAAGGACCTTGTATAGAAAATATCACATTTATTAATTATTAATGACTTTAATATTAAAAATTCACAGATGCTAACCCAGTTTTGTGTTTTGCACCTGACACTGTTGCATAAAATGACATTAAAAATGCTTCTCGCCCCTTTAGAACATGAAAGCCGGGGGCCCTTCCTCCAGCAGAGTGGTCGACCCGGGCAGCCTGCCCGTCCCCGCCCAGCCCGGGCTGAGCAGGAGAGGAAAGACCCGCACTCCCAGCGTCCCGGAGATGAGCCGGGAGGCAGGGCTGGAGCTGCTCAGGGAGCGGCCCGAGGAGGCGCTGTCCCCGAGCCGCCCTCAGGTCCTGGAAACTCCCGAGTCCCTGAGCGATTCCCTGTACGACAGTCTGTCATCGTGCGGCAGCCAAGGATGATAACGGGCGAGGACGGAAGGAAGGGGGGGCAGGGGGCCCACCTGATGCTGCTGACACCTTAAGGAGAACAAACAAACTGTGCTTTGTTGTCGTTGGTTAGGAGTAATCTGTGGCGACTTGTCAGCTGTTGCAACTGGAAAGACGGATTGATCTCTTCTCCTCAGGATTTCTAAAACACACGTAAAGCCAAAAGACGCCCAAATAATTTACATTGCTCACTTTTTCAAAATCAGACTTGACTGTGGACACTTCTCTTGAACGGACACATAACAAGACTTAAAAAAAAAAACCAACAAAAAAAAAAAAACCGCATGGCCAAGCTAAAGATCAGCACAAGAGGTTGTCACTCCTGCTAGTCTCTCAGAAATGCTTTTATTTTCCTCATCCTGGTAGAAGAACTTTAATTGTGTTCATCATGACAGCGGTTCAGTAGACAAAGTACTGTTTTGATGCATCCGTTCATTTCTTGACATCATTTCACCGTAAAGTGTGTTAAGAAAAAGATTAGAAAAAAAAAGAACCATGGAGCGCTTAGAAAACTAAAAAAAAAAACAACAAAGAATGTTCATGTCTGTGTTCTCTGGTTGCTTAAATCATGCATCATAATGTTTAATGTAAAAATAATTTTATTGATCACATTGGTATTGTTTCACAGCCAGAGACATGTCTGTTTCTGAATCATAATGCATTTAAAAGGTAATATATACCAGCAATAATCACATGCAGAAGGAAAAACAAAAAGGCTACATCTTTTGATTGATATGTATTTTTTATTATTTATTTATTTGAAATCTTCATCTGGAGTCATCTTTACGTGAAAATCGCAGTCATCTTCGCCGAGTAGATTCAGCTCAGATCTTGTTTCACCATCTCCGCCATTTGTTTCTTAGCAAATAGAAGATCCTTACTGCCGTTTTTTCAACTTTCTAAATAAAAGTGTTTTGATTTAGTTTGTTTTTCGTGCCTTTAATTTTTTCCCTAAAGAAGTCTGCACATGCAGTCTGGAAAGGTATCCTAACCCTCCATCTATTATTCTCTCCACCATTCATCCCTCATCATTCTATCTATACATCAGCTTGTTTATCATCCAGTCATTCCTCCGTCCTTCTTCTTCCTTCCCCTCTATGGATCATGCAGGTCCAATATTTAATGTCTGCCCATTATGGAAATGTGCCATAAATAAATCATAAAAGTCTTGCATTTCGCTTTTAAAAGAACTAGGACTCAGTTTTTGACATGAGTAATGTGTTTGAAACCAGTAATTGGTTTAATAGTCTATTCTGCAGCACTTACAGACGAGTTGTAGTGATGTTACAGGCAAATAGCTTAACATTAAGCATTAAAGACTGATCATAGAAGACATCTGCATTTCTGTGCTTTGCTTTTATGCACTTAAAGTCCAATTTACTCCAAAATTCAGATAAATGGGATACACTGGACATATGAGGTTCTAATTTAATGTTACTGTGCATTTAATTATTTTTATGTTCTCATGTTAGTTTTAGCTCTGGAGTATGTCTTAAAACCAGCTTAATGCTGCCCTCTTAAGGTTGAACGATGACTGTTGCAGTTGAATTTTCCCATTTGTTCAAACTGTGCATGTTTTCATAATTTCCTGCGTCCAAATATATACAGCAAACTTATTTGCGCCTCTGCTGCCTTGCTGTTATGAACTTGAATTTGGCAGCTCAAACGATAAAACCTTCCTCCACCTCAAAGGTTCTGTCCTGACGTAATTAACAGTGTCCCTCTGCTTACCGCCTGTGCTTTAATATGGGGAAGCTAGCTGCCACTTTCTCTCAACCTGAACACAACCTCACTATATTAGCCCCGCCCCTCAGGGTTTCTCTGCAACAACCCCTTTGGTGGCATCTTTTTTTTGTTTTTTTTTTTGGGTGAGTTGCACTTTAAGTTACTGTTTGGAAATTCATCTACTGGGACTAAAAAAACATTTCAGATTCAGGTGTGAAGTATCAATATATTTACCTTAAAATGTTGACTAAATATATTGTTTTATTTTCCCAGGCAAACACTTTGGGGGATTTTAACCTGTTTTCTTTCCTGCTTTTGTAAAATCAGTTTCGATAATGGGTAAACAGACAGCTTCCACCATGGGTGGCCTGCTGATCAGCACTACAGAGGAATATTTAATCCCATTGAGTTTGTCCGTTTTCTCTCTTGATCAGAAGTTTGAAACCCTTTTTCTAAATCCTTTATCATGCCAGTGAATCTCCTGCAGAGACAGCCCCATGTTTTTAAAATGTATTTGAACCAAACTACCTCCAGTCAGAGGTTAGCAATGTTTTTTTTCTTCTTGTTCCCTGTTCTCCAACCCAGTTTATATCTAATTCACTAAAGTTAACCCACAAACAAAAAAATCCTAGTTTTTTTACGTAGAGCAGAAGAAAACTGTTTTTCTCAACCCAAGCTGACAACTTTTCATTTTACACCAAGAATGCGGAATAGAAATTAAATGCATAGACATGCAGCTGACTGGAAAGGAACCTGCTTGACCACATTTTGCAAAAATCCATGTTCAGTGTTGGCTCTGTTGAATGAGCCTCTTGAAAGGGGTTTAAATTAGTTTCTCATTGTTTGGAGCAATGACTCGTCAAGCATTAAGGAGTTCCAACAATTTAAACTCTGAACTTCACACAGATACAAACTAGTTTAGATAATTGTTTTATACAAATAATCTTACACAATTCTTCTATGAACTGATCTAAAGAATAAAACAAAACGTTCATTACTTTGTTAAAGATCTAGCTTTTGGTTAGAATAGTTTTCTCAAATCAGCCTGCAGTGAATTTAAATACTATATCCATCCTGTATTTTATAATTGAATTTTTTGAGTCCTGACTAAACGAAAAAGGAGGAAGATCAAGTCCATTCAACACATTTATTGAGCAAATGTATCAAATTAGTAGTTTCCATTATACATCAAAAAAAAAAAAAATCTTCACAGTTTACACTTACAAAGAAAAAAAGGAATTTTGCACTGATGCCAAATTGCCTGGTTAACATCATCATTTGGCAGAGTTATGCTTCAACAGCAGATTATAGGGAAGTTTTACAAGAGGCCGGTTCCAGAAAACCGACCTGTTATACAAGCTGGGAAAGAATTAAGAAAATGGGACAGATGGCACAGTCTCCCAACATGTCTAAATTCATAAACCCGTCCATCCAGAGACTGTATGTCCATCTAGTTGGGTTTAATGTAATGTTGCGTCTTTTGTATGAACATTTCTAAACACAAAAACAGACATTTGATTTAACTAAACAAAAAACTAAGACTTTTTCTTTAATTCATGGAGCACTAATCTTATATTTCACTACAGTGAACTGAGGAATAACTATAAATAAGCAATCAAACAAATTAAACTGTATTCAGCTTCCATAGCTTAAATGAGCTTTTAAAATGAATCCGTGTTAATTTATGGCACTAAATAACAGTAATAGAAACTTGATCAAGCGCTGCTCAGCTTCAGGGTGTTTGTTAAGCAACGCTCCCCTCTACAGGCCAAGCTGGATCACTGCAGTGTTGTTTTTCCATTCACAGCCAGGGTGGAACTACCAACCAAAGTATCACATTTGTACAATCAACCCTGGTTATTTTTCAAAAAAAAGTCAAAGAAACCCCCCCCCCTAAAAATTAAAACATAAGACCACATAAGAGTTTAGATTGAGAAAAGGAGAGAGTAAAAAAGCACCAAGTGCATAGCAAATTGTGCCTTTTCTGATTTTATTTCTACTGCTACTCCATCCACTTTTACTTCTTTTCCTTCTTCTTGTCCTGGAAAAAAAAAAGAAACAGTTTCATGGCAGATCATCACAGAATGCTGGAGTTTAAAACCTTTTTGAGTTTCATCAAAATTAACGAAACCCAGTGTTTCCAAAGTGAGTCAACATGTCAGCCGAGGGAGATTGCTGTGGTTTATAGGATGGAATCCAGCCTGGATTGTATCTAGAGCTGCACCAACAACTCCCTCCACTCAGCTCACTTGAAGAAAACTCCCAAGTAAACTCTTTTTTTCAGTATCAGAGAAGCTATTAAACATTTGCAGGAAGCAGAAATGAAAGATGCCATTAAAAGGAAATCAGACTTAGGGGATAGGATAGTTGCTTTTAATCTTCCATCCTCAGTCCACTAGAAAAGCTGCTAACCTTTTAGAAATCTAACAATTAGGGTAAGCATTATAATTTTGGGCTTGGATATGTTTGGGTTATGACATCAAACACATGATTTTTAATGTTAAAATGTTGTATTCATTTTGAAATAGCGGTTAAACCCAATTTAACACTAACTGCTCTCAAACACAGACAGTTAAATGGTAATTTATACAAATTTTGTTTGTAAAAAAACAAAGCATGCTTAAACTATCTGAATGCTGTTCTTATTGTTGTTAAGAATTATTGAAGAGAAGCTAGAATAAGCTCATTATTGCACAGTAGAGCTTCACAAAATGTTAAGATATTAGTGTTATTAAACTCCATCTACTACCTCTGTGTTCCTTCATTAAAACGTTTAATCTCCTTGATGCAAAGAGGAGCAGCTGAGTTTTCACTTCTCTTATCATATTTAAGGTATAATAAGGAGCCATCAGGTCACAAACGGAAGAACACAGTCAGCTTTGCATGTCTTTGGTTCAGAAATTAGCCACCCACCTTCCACTAACCCCGTATATGACGGATTGAGTTGGGAGATTAAACTCACTTCACCTGCCTTTATTAGAAAAAGATTAAAGTTAATGTCTTTTAACCATTTTCCAGGGTTTTTACCAGTGGTTCCCAACCCTGGTCCTCATGGACCCCTGCCCTCCATGTTCTAGATAGGTCTCTGTTCTTTAAAAAAATAAATAAAATAAAAGAATCTTTTTGGCGTGAGGCCACTCTGTGCCTCACGCCAGCTGACCTGCTCCTCCTGGAGGTACCGAGGTCCAAACAGAAGCTCAGAGGAAACAGAGCTTTTTCAGTTGCTGCTCCAAAATTGTGGAATCATCTCCAACAATCCTCCTTGACGGCTATTTTTTTAAACTCTTCCTAAAACCTATTTTCATTCTTTTGCTTTTAACACAGCATGAAACTCTCTGTTTTTGTGTTTGTGGCTTGTTTTTATTGTTTTTTTTTTATCTGGTTTTATTCATTTATTTTATTAGATTTGTTTTATTCTTTTAAATTTCTTTGTTGTTTTTATACAATTTTAACTTTACCTGATATGTACAGTAAATTCTGGCAGCTGCGGCTGTTTTAAAGGGCTTTATAAAGAAAGTTTATAAAGCACACCTAGTTCAAATCAGGGATCCTCCTTTGTAGACAAGTGCTGCAGAAAACTGTTAATCATTCCTTCTTTTCTGATGTGATGCAACAAGGAAACACCTAAAACAAGCAGGGCAGGGGTCCCTGAGGAACATGGTTGGGAACCACTGGTTTATACATAATAAAAATTTACTTTTAAATATTTTCATTTGTTGTTTTATAAATTTTATGCAGGCTGGATGAACAAAATAATTACACATTTCTGTTGGTTAGGTTAAGAAGTTATAAGAAGATCTTGTCAAAATTGAGATTTCAATTTCAGACAAACAAAAACCAAAAAAAAGGCCCTAAATCATTTAACATGCATGAACTGTGTCTTTAGATAAAATGGGTTATGTCACTTTATTTTCATGAATAGTTTGCTGAGTGGCGGCAGAAGTTATTTACTCTGAGTAAATAAGACTGAAAGTATGAACAAATATCTACTTTGCGTCAGCCGAGTGAAAAACATTTTCATATGAAACTCCAGCAATGCTCCATCATCATTTGGTAGATTTTAAGTCTTTCTGAGAAAAGGTTTCTGTACCTTATCATTCATGGCCAAGATGATCATCAGTTTTCTGAAGATTGTGATGAAATCCAGGAACAGGTCCACACAGTGCCTTCAGTGACAAAACAGACACATTAGGTTCATTTCTACAAATGGTGACTTAACTACAGCACAATGCTTTTGCATGTCATTTGGTTAGGTAAATAAGGTAAGAGGGTGTGAGTGAAGCATGTCAACAGCAGATAGAGGTCCTCACCACACGTAGTCCTTATCTCCATTCTCTGCTTTCTCAATGATGAGCTGAGTGTCGAAGAGGACAAAGCCGCACATGACGAGCAGCCCGAGGTACAAGTGGGCCTGCGAGGGAGATGGAGACAAAGAACCTGATGAACCGCTAAAACAGATACCATTACCCAGGAAAACACTGTAGAAGATTTGGTTTTAATGAATGATAATTTGCTTCCCTATATGTACAACCACAGAACTTAAAGGAGCATTGCACAACATTGAAAGGTAAAGATTATTTTTCTTTCTCATAATGCCCTTAAAATTTAATTAATATCTGAAGAAGAAAGTAAAGCTTTTTTTCCAGAGCATCGAAAATCTGCCAAATCGTCTGATTGGGACGGATTAAGATGGGGATAAATATTCAGGCAGCTTTCATCAAAGATGGAGCTCAGAGCTGCTGTGGGAATGGGCGTCCTTTTGCTACAAAGGTAAGATGCTCAGTTCAAAGCAACTTTCTTACCTTGGCTTAAAATACAGCTCAAATAAAAAAAAATACATGTGCATTCCCTATGTTGCTTAATTTTTAGTTTTCAACATAATGTATACTATAATAAGAGAGATGGAAGCAGTGTGCTGTGGTATAATAAGATTATGAATAAAGAACAGAGTTTCTCTGGAGCAAACCCTAGTTTGGTAAACAGGAGGAACGTGAGAGGTGGCTTTTTATGTTTAATCAGTCAAAACCCTTTAAAGAGCAACAGAAAGACAGAACAAGCCTTTCATTGTTTTGACTGTAGGAGGAAATTTGAGTACCCAGAGAAAATCAATGCATGCATGGAGAGAACATGTGACCTAAATGAGAAAAGGTTGGCTCCCAGGACTGCTAAATGTTAGCATTTCCCTAGGAATGTTAAAAACGTTAACCCACTGGACTTTGTACATCTAACTGAACACTCTGGAGGCTATTTCTACATTAAACTGATAATCTAAACAATTTATATGTTAAATGCAAGTTCAGGCATTATGGAAAGTAAACCCACTAAAGTCTCTAAAAAGGAAAAGCTGCTGCAGAAAACATCTAGATGCAGGTGAGAGTAGAGCTCCTGTCCAGGGAGAAGTAGAGTAAACTAATGGAGCTGGAGGTCAAAGAGCTTCTTGTAAAACATTAATTTGTTGTGAAACATTTATAAATGTTTCCATAGATATTCATTAGTTTGCTCATGTTTTACACTGTCAAAACTGATAACTGATCACATGTTAAAAATTCCCTGAGATGTTTCAATTTGCCTTTAATCAGGAGGTAAATACAAAGATGAACCCGCTCCTCTCAATGGAATTAGTATTTTTCCCTTAAAATAAGATATTATGAACTTGAAATAAGATAGGGTTGCTTCTCCTTATTATGTTAATTCTTATTTCAATGGCACATTGTTTTACTAAGTGGCTAAAATCAAGTAAAATATGCTTATTTAAAAAAAACCCGACATACTTTGGTTTAATTTTCGCAGTGTACCACATATAGTTAAAACAACTGATATCTATGTTGATATTGTAATATTTAAAGTCCTCCATTTCAGCATTAGCACCACTTGGGTGACGTTCACTCAATTGCTACATAATAGTTACACAACATAACATTTTGCATTATGATTAAGACTTGCAAATTAATCAGAATTTGTTTAATTCAGCATAAATATCCTTATTATCAGCTGCAATCTTAATCTTCTCGTCATTCTCTCATGAGGCACTCAGAATAATGTCTGTAGACTAAACAACCACTAATCAGAGGTTCTTGTCTCTATGAGAAGAGAAGATACAATTTAATGAATACTATTTGAAGTCGGGAGTGTTTTATACGTGCGTTAAAGTCTTACTGAGATGTTTTGACAGTCCAGATCTCAAATTTATTCTTTTAAAACTCTTACAACCGATAGATCCTTACATCTTTAATTAAAGCAGAGACTTATTTTAGTTATTCTAGCTGGTGCATATCCAATCACCAGAAGACAATTTGTCTTGTTTAGTCAGCATGTTGTTAGATAAAACAATCAGTCATTCAGGATGACACGGTTATTCTTCTCTCGATATGGGTTTATATGCAAACATGAATGTGATGAGTAATAACAGTCGAGAGCTACAGAGCGACAGGAGGTGAGGTAGAAAAATCTCAGTGTGCTTCTCTAATCACCTTGAACAACATGACAGATCCGAAGAAGAGGTTCATCAGAGACATCAGGAAGAGGATGGAAAGGCCAGACATCAGTGTGCCTAAGACAAAAGGAAATGGGTTCAGGGTGAATGCATAACACTTTTTTTTTTTTTTTTTTTAAGTGTTCTTGTCTTGTTTGATAAACTTTGCTTCATATTTATTATTGTGTTTCTAGAATGGATAAGAACAGCAGCAGAAGTGTTCTTTACCTCCCAGGAACAGGTAACTTCTGCGTTTTGCATAGAGAGCACTGAGAGTGAAGCAGATGAAAATCACTGAGGTTCCCAAGAAGGCCGTCACGATGATGCTGGAAGGAACCAAACCAGGACAAGGACTGAGTAAATTCAGCTGTCGAAAGCTCTGAAGGCTTGTCTTAATGTTTGACAGGTGCACTTTTTAACTTCCATTCTACGGGCACACATTAATCTCTGACATACCTTGGATTGATAGCAATGACAAAGTCCAGTGTGGGGCCAAGGCCGACACCTGGAGAAGGAAAGACGAGTGTCAACACTGCTTTAAACCATGACACAATTACAGGTTAACTGCACAGTGTCTCCAAATGAACAAAGGAAATCTATCAGCCTACCTGTGAGGAAGGCAAATGCAGCGAGGATTCCCAGTCTCTTCTTCTCTGTTTCAGGGCTGTGAGGTGTCATGGCGAGCCAGAACATCATTGCCAGGGAGCCGAGCACAGAGAGGAATCCGCCCTGGAAAACCGGCACAGAGCAGAGTCATCTTACAGCCGTAAAATATGTTGGCAGATTCTTACTATGTGTATAAGTTGCTTTTATCCTTTAAAATAGTTTAATGCTTTTTTTTACTCACTATGTGATTAAAGTTGGAAAGAAATTTGAAAAGCATGAATCCACGCTTAACAGGGAGACTTCCTCTCCACTGTCACTACATGCATGCTCAGTATAAGTGATAGAGTCTCATCTGCATGATTTGATTGAATCAACTTAAGTTTCTAGAGATGTTTGTTTTCAAATGGAGCAACAAAAATAAACTAAAGTAAATGAACAAGTAGGCCTCTAGGAAATGTTATCACATGATTCATCCTTATTTTTTTTTATGCGTTACAATTTGATTATCATACAGAATCACTCACACAACCCTTTGGCTACTTGAACTAGAGAAGTTTACAACATGTATAAGGATCTTATTGTGAAGGTTAGAAGAATGTTATGTCTCAGTACATCTGTTGCATAGATGCATTTGTCAAAATATAAAATGGTCATCAGTTTTCTGCACACAGAAAACATTATTTCAGCTTTTTCCCTTTGAAGTATAATTAGATCACCGGACTTTTGGGGAAGGCAGGCGGAGACTGATGGCAAATTTATCAGCTCAGCTGGATAATTTGCATAGTCTACAGTACCGTGCCTGTCTTTTTTTGAAACTGCTCACACATAACGGATTTGCACAGATGGCACACAAAAACAATGCTTTTAAGCGCTGCTGTGGTAGTTTGCATTATGATATCACTGAAGAAATGCATCTTAAATCAGAAAATAAGACTTATTTAATAATCAATCTTCATTAGACAGATATTAGACATAATCTAAGACCCAATAATCATGAATTATTTAAAGGTAGATTTATTACCACACAAAATGTGGCTTCCTCAGTTTGCTTTCACTTTTCAGAAATAAATGAAGTCACCATGTTTAGAAATATCTTCACCTAAACCAGTCCAGACGTGTCAGCCCGACTACACTGGACATCTGAATGTTTATATTCGCCACTAATCTATCAGTTACAGAGGTTGGAGGTGCAGCCTGAGTGGACTGTCACTTTTTAACTGGAGCTAAGGACAGAGGCCTTATCTGGACAGATCTGCCTTCTCTACACATATCTATCAGTAACCTTGGCTGCCCATAAACCTGTCTCTAGGCAACTTGTTTTCAATCCACAAGATCGTTTTTAGTGATGGTTGACTGCTGCACGATCACAAAGTTTTGAAACTGCCACAACCCATCCTCATTGGTTTCTTAATAATACTCAAACACTCAAATCTAATCTAGTCCACTGTTTGCAAATGATAATATACAAAGTTAACCCATTTTTTCTTTTAAAAAATTAACTTTAAATGGTCATTACACTCTGGATGGGGGCGTGATCAGCAAGACTTTTAGCCCATTGAAAATTAACTTTAAAGGTTCTCATTAAACAGAAGGAAAAATTAAGTTTGCCCCATACATCCAACTCAATTGCCCCGTTTTCTCGTGACTTTAAAACCTCAGCCCGCTTCAATTCTCACCTACCTGCAAGAGACGTGTGACAACGTGAACATATGAGCCCGCGGCTGCCACAAACATACAAACAGCCAAGCTGGAGTACACATTCTTTAGGTGCACCTGGGTTGAGTGAGAGCTGCAATGAAGAGCACAACAGAAAAGGTATGAGAGATGGCGACACCAGTTAAAACATATGACCGTCCGTCACATACCGAAACGAAAGCAAGCTTACATACATTTGGGAGAACCTGAAGAGTGCATCAATGTTGATGTTGCGGTCAAACACGTTCATGATGAGATCAGGTATGCAGGATCTAAAGGTTGTTTTGATCCAGCGATGTCACCTGTAAAGTGAAAAATCGAATTAAAATTCTACTTTATTAACCTGTAGTTGTTATCAAACACCCATAAAGCTGGATATTAAATCACTAATTTCTTACTTGTAAATAAGGAACTATTTTGTAAAACATACACACACTATGGCTTTTGAGGAATCTGTCTTTAAAAAAGGTTGGGATGGTAAATCAATTTAATGAAATTATATTAATGATGATAGAGAATACTTTTTATATCCCGTATCTCATCTCTGTTTTTAGTCATCTCTCATAAGAGTTGCTATCTATTGCATGGGACTGCAACCGAAAGGCTAAATACTACTTATCATACAAAATATAAACTAACAACACTTAAATATAATCAGCCAACAATAATTGCATTTAAAAAACTCTATTGATGCAGTCATATAAATGATAAAGATGGTTGTTTAAATAGTCTCTGAGTAAATTGACATACATACATATATAAACATATATTAATATCAATTAATGTCTTGATGTAGGGCCCTTATAAGCATTTTCTGTTACACTTTAAGTATTCTGAATTGCAACAATCATGATTTTAACTGCCGTAAATAACGATTCCGTTCCATATTATATTCTCAAAAATAAAGAAGCATTTCAAGTGTCAATCACAACTGTAGCTAAGTACAAAATCAACATGCTAAAAGCAGTTTAAACAAGACGGTAAACTACAGGTTATTATCAAATATCAATGGCTGACTATCCAATATCCAAATAGAGAGAGCTAAGAAAAGACACACAGACTAGCTAACGTTTAAACTCGGCTGGCAGACGAAACTAAACGACTAACTATAAAAATGTACCCTTCTGGGTCTAATAATACAATCAAGAGAATGCTGATATTGCATCGAAAGACTACTGTAAAGAGAATGTTCTAATCCAGCCACCCTTAAATAACGCCGTTAGCTTAGCTACAATGCTAACGGTGGCTAAATCTGTCAAAACAATTCGACGTCTTCGGGATTTTTCAAACGGAAGTCCGTCGCTAAACCGTCGGTGAGATTATAGCTATCATTAAAACTCACCAATACATAAGAACAACGACACATGGATGTAACACACCTACCTGGTAGTACGTTCAGAGCAGTTGGGGAGCTTTCCTGGGGAGCTGCTACAGTTTGTTAACAAACCAGTACGTGTCAGTCAGTTCTGGTTAGCCTGCTGATGTCACCATGGAAACACCCAGAAGACTTCGCCGCGCTGAAGTCGGTGTTCGATTTGTAGCTTCAGTAAAGCGCAATTTCACAGTGAAGCACTAGAGGCCATCTGTGATCGGCTGTAGTATAACAACTAAAATGCTAAGGTTGGTCCACAGGAAATTTTATTTCACCAATTCAATATGAATTAAAAAATACAGTTGGTGGCTTGTAAAAACTCAATTCAATTAATGAAAAACTAACAATATTAAGTTCTTGAGAGCCCCATAATCGAGATTTGTGAACTCAAAATAAGTTACGTATCAATCTGGTTTATGCCAGGTTACCCTTAATCCTTAATCGGGATCTGGCTAGAAATCATAACATATAGACAAACGCATTTTACGCTTACAAAGGAGATTTTAAGCCATCTCTGTTGCCAGAACATCACTAAAACCTGGGATGAGCAATAGTCTTTGGCAGCAGTGGCGCTTCCAGAAATGTTTCATTGAGGGGGCCAGATGGGGCCTCTAAAAATCTGGGAGTGGAACACTGAAACTACTGAAACTAAAAGCCATAGTTTCAGGGTTTGAATCTACTGTTGTGGTAAACCTGCCTGTAGAATAATAAAAACCTAAGTAAACACCCACTCATATCTTGGTTTATTGTGTGATTTACTAATGTTGCGTCACTGACTGTGAATTAAGTCATGAAATGCTAAACTGATGCTACTAAATTTACAATGGTGAGTGGGGTGGCCAATGGGGTGGCCAGGGTATTGCACAGCGTGTTGCCACTGTTTGGCAGAGCTACTGTAGAAGAAATTTATCAGTGGAGGACCAATGCTTGGAAAAAAAACAACAACCAGGGCAATCAATTTGTATAACAAGTTAGCCACAGAGCCAAAGTTGTAGACCACTGATTTAACAAATGAAAACCGTTATCTTATCAGTCTGCTTATCTTGTTCTGTATGTCTGCTTCTGTCTCATTGAACCCCAGTCGGCCTTCGCAGATGGCCGCTCACACTGAGCCTGGTTCTGCTGGAGGTTTCTTCCTGTTAAAAGGGAGTTTTTCGTCTCCACTGTCGCTACAAGCATGCTTAGTGTGAGGGATTGCCTTCGAGTCAATGAGTCGATGCAATTAGCTGGTTTTCCTTATATAGAAAACTTTGAATTAATTTGACTGTATGATCTGGTTGAATTGCAAAGTACCTAGAGATGACATGTTGTGAATTGCCACTACATATATAAACTGAATTAAAATTGAATCTTAATATGGTTGAAGCTTTAAAAAAATATTGAAATGGTCTAATGGACTTATCAGTCCATATTCAGTCTAACTTTGTCAGTGCATCATCATAAAAAAAATTATTTGGCATTACACTGTAAAAAAAACTGATCTAGAAGAGTTAAATATTTATAAAGTCAGTACAGTTACCCACAATTTGTACATGTAAATAAGATTATCAGCTAATGAAATGAGGATTGTTGCTCAAAACATAAGATACCTCCAATCTGTTATAATACAGCTACTGAAGCTATAGTCGTACTAACTGTGCCATTCCCTGTCTGCATACTTTCATAAATGATTAAATCAAAGCAACAAGAGCCTACAAGTAATTTTTAAAAAATCTAAAATAACCATGTTAGATTTTATACACTTAAATTGAAGTTGGAAATTGAACCATTCAAATCTTTTCGAATTTAAGATCTCAATTCGAGACTAGTTTAAGTAACTGACCTTTCTTTGAATAGTTTTTTTTCTACAGATAAAACCTTTTAATTGTAAAAATGCCAAAAATACCATTCAAAAAGCAACATTTCTTTAAAAATAATAATAAAAGGGCATATTAAAAAACGATGTTTAACAATTTCTAAGCGGAGTTAAAAGTAATATTTAATCAGTATTGAATATTTTGCTCATTCAGATTATAACTAGTGATTACAACAGTTCGGCAGACTAAACTAGTCCTTACGGAAGCTACAAATCTGACACCAACTTCAGCCTCATATAGAAGCAGTGACGTCCCTAATTGACGCGTTCAATAAAACACAACAACCAATATATTTGTCGCTTTTGGGGGGTTAAAAAAGGCTCGTGGAATCAAATTTATGTTTTTTAGAACAGAGCCTCTATTTATTTGCGAATATTTCCCCCACTTCCTGGAATGTTGCTCAGAACGTCCACCTAAAATGGCCGTCGCTTCAATGTAACCTGAGAAAGAGAAAGAACACAATTAATCACCTAACTCTAACATCTGTTTCTGTTTTTAAATGTCAAATATTTTCTCACAAAAGGTTTTAGTTTTACCTTATAAAAAATATAAGCTATTTAAGAATTTATACTAGCAGGAAAGTTGAGTTTATGACGTGTGGCGTGTAAAATCCTAAGTATCACTTTCATTTTGAATTAATTTTCATAAATTGAGATTCAAGTTTAATATAAAGCATAAAATTTATGTAAATGTTGATTTATTTTTAGATGATACAAAAAAGTAATCACAAAAATAGATTTTAACTACACTACTGATGTTAATAAGCAATATCAGTTTATATCAAATTTTTATTTTTAATGTTAAGTGTGAAAAGCAAATTATAAAGAAGAAAAGAAAAGTAGTTTCATTTTTATATAGCTATTTAATGTTTGATAACACGTTTATGATTAGGAAATCTATTTACAGAAAGAAAATACTATTGAACAAAAAAGATTTTTGTTTTAAAGTTAAAAATATTAAATTTAAATATAACCATTATTTCTCTTTGTGGTCAAAAAGAATACATTTAAATGGTTAATAAAAAAAACTAATAAGGTAAAAAAAAAGTAAAAAAAAAAAACTTTCTTTTTTTCTGCGTATTTCTTGAGTCATCTGATTTTGTCAAATAATATATTTGCTGAAAGATGGCTCCATCATTTTTAAGACCTTTGAGTTTGGACATGTGCTTTTCATGGTGTTGTTAGGTTGATTTGGAAAACAATAACTATATACTGTATTTTATATATTTAGTGATGTCATGAAGGTATACTCTACTGGGGGGGAGTGTCAAAATATAATACTGGGTTATTTGAAATTCTCTGTTGTTGTGATAATTTTTCCTCTTGAATAACCAAAATAAAGACAATTGAATTTTTGCACACCCTTTTTTAAAACCAAAATAAAAAGTAATTATATTTAATCCTTTTCACTATACCTGCTTCGTTTTTTTCAGTACTTGTTTACATAAAATCCAAATACCGAAACCTGCAAGAATTATAAACAGACAGTTGATGTAAAGAAACAAATACAAAGAATTCAAAATATAACCACATTTTTTATTTCAAAATCAAAATTGGCAGCACCTTTTTTTTAAGGGTTTTGGTCAGATCAGGTATAAAAAAATTATTCAAAAACATTCTTTTTTCGCAACAAACAAAAGACTTGAGACTTCTTCAAATACTTTTGGTCATCACAACATACATTTCCACATTTGACTCATTAACATGCAGGCAGTAATTGCATTGGACAAACATTGTAAAGACCGTCCTACCGAAGAAAAAAAAATACACAAACTCATTACAAAAATACGTACTGAGTTACAAATGAGTAAAAAAGAGATTTAATTCCAGATTCACGCTTGCTTGTAAATTACATTTACCATAACTGAACAGGTTTGAGTTTTTTTTTTTTTATCAGCAAAAGGTGTTATATAGGCACGAATAAACAGTGAAAACACAAGGCCAGCCTCAGTATAGGCAGAACGGATCACAATATAAAATGCTGGGTATTAAAAAGTGTTGGACAATTATGTTTCTATTGGCCAATAAATATATAGAGGAAAATAAAAACACTTGGCAGTTTAAAAATATCAAATTTGATAGCTTCAAGTGTTGTAATGCAAGTACCACAGCGGCTGGCATCCCCCCGCCCCCCCTTTTGGCTCCTGACAGTGTTTTTTTTCTCACGCTCAGCATGACGTTATCAGGGTGTGCAGTTCTCAAAAAAAAAAAAAAAAAATCTCTGCTCAGGCGGAACACTTTTCTCTCTGTCCCGTTTCCAAAGGCACAGTTTTTACTTTCAGCACTGTCGATATAGTACAAGTGCAACTTATTTGTCATTTGGAAAGAAAGAAAAATACAGCAACCAATGAAGATCTGTCTGAAAACATTAAGGATCATCCCATGTGCCAGCTTATCCAGTGTAACTGTTAACGCACCACCAGAGACCTCGTTCTAATTACCCAACCCGTTACCAATAATAACAATCTGAACATTCATTATTTATATTGCATGTTTTGAAGAAAAAAAAAAAGAATAGGGTGTTTACAGCACAAATGAATAATATCTGATTTGTTTCGACGTAAATAAACATACAGCAACATTTACAGTGGCACGAAAAAGTATTCACCCCCTTACAGATTTCTGCTGTTTTTGCTTTTTTGTCTCAATCGAATTCGGAACTTCCTCTTTGGCAGGGCAGGATCAACAGCTATGAAGTGACAACTGGAGGAGAGTTGTTTTTTTTACATCAATGTAGAGGTATTTTGGTCCACTTTGGAGAATTATTTTAATGTAGCCATTAAGCTAATGCTACGACATCTTGTTTGAATGATTGTGCTGAAGGTCAAGAACCAACGGATATAGATTATTCTTCTGGTTGTATTGCTAAAAAGAATAATCATTCGCTCCATTAATCATAGCAAGTCGTCCCAAACAGTCCCAGACCATAATATTACCTCTACATGATTGTCTTTGGAAGAACCTCCAAATTATGTGTTGATTTGAACCTGATCCAACTAAACGTTCCCATAGTTCCCAAAGTCTTGGGGTTAATCAAGATGCTTTAGGTGGAATCTGATGGTTGGAGGATCCGGAAAGTGGCCTTGTTTATACCACAGGCCTAGAATGATCAACCCTGCCAACCAAACCTGCCAGCAGCTCTGAAGTTTACAAAAAAGTTAAACTTCTGGCTCCAGTCAACAAAATGTTTGGTGAAGCCTTGGGAACCCCTCAGCACCATGGAGATCTCCCATTTAAGTCATCTGCCCAGACCCTCTCACATATAAAGATATATGTATATATAGATATATATCAGAACTGGGTGTAGCAAGTGAGATTATTTTCAACTGCAATTGATGAATTGGTCTCCAAGTTGGTTTCCGCTGCTTTTTCTCCCTTAAAAAATCATGATCCACATTTCCTAATGTTATTTCTGTCTGGTCTAAAAAAACGTGTTCTGAAACGTTAATTGAAACCAAAGGAAAAAGTAGAAGAAATCTGTAAAGTGGCTGAGACTTTTTCTCAGAAGTGCACATCTGCCAACCACAAGAGGTACAACATGTTATTACCGAACTGGGTTGCATAGAGAAACAATGTTTTCAGCATTTAAAAATAGATTTCCTTGCATAAAAAGGAATCTATAAATGTATAAAAATCTGGTGGAATTAAAAAAAAGTGTTTTTTTTTACTCTTGTTCCTTAAAAGGCACAATAAAGCAAACTGTGTCCAAAAGTCAATAGAGGGCAGGCAGATGTCTGCTTTGGCAAAAGATCCATTTTCGTTTCTATACCAGCTGGAGTGATTGTAATGGGTTGGCTTTGGTTGACTCCCAGTCTTTCTTGTAGTGATTATTTTATTAAGAAAAAAAAAGTGTTTGTGGATATCACCAGGTTTGGGGTAGCTCCCCAGCTGCACAGTGACATAAAGGGAAAAAGTGAGTTTTTTTCTCTCTCTCGGTATATGCGGATCTGGTGTTTATGAAGAGGGAGGGAACTACTGTTCCCGAAGCTGGTCCAGATGGGTGTAAACGTTATCAGCTTTACTGAGCTCCTCGAACACGGGCAGAAGGTTAAGCAGCTCGGTATCTTCCACGTCGTCAAACCAAGACACCACGGGAATCTGAAGGACGAAAAGGAAACGGATTGTTAACTGACTGGGATATGATATCATCTTATTATATAAAAATAAAACTGTTACTTTGATGTAATGAAATGATCATTATTTCAGATATTGTTGATTAAATATTATCATCAGTTATTATAATTAAAAGCAGAACAGCTGGTAAATAAAAATATCTAGCTTATTCCAGAGATATTGAAGGGAGTTTTTCCTCTCCACTGTCGCTACAGGCATGTTTAGTGAGTGATTGCATTCGAGTCAGTGAGTCGATGCAAACAACTGGTTTTCCTTAGATAGAAGATTTGAATCAATTTGACTGTATGAATGGTGAACTGTAAAGTGTCTTGAGATGACGTGTTGTGAATTGGCGCTATAGAAATAACCTGAATTGAATTGATAATACCCCATCACTTAATTTTCTACTTTAGTCTTTAGTTATTTATACCAGCAAACAGTACTTCTTCTAATTGCCCTTACACAGAGGTCACCTATTATTATTTCTTGTTTTTATGATTGTTTATCCTTGTGTGTAGCTGTATGCTTAGGTTGCTGCTGAAAAACGATTATTTACTCGCTTAACTTTAAAAGTCATTTTATTCTATCGTTGTGTAGGGGCTGCTTTCAGCCAGCTAGTCAGCAGTGTGCAGAAAGAACCCAGACCTCCCAGGATTTGCTTTAAAAACTTACACTATAAAAAATGGAAATCTAAATAAGTCAGTTTTTCTTAAATTAAGTGCATTTTTCTTGAATTGAGGAGGTGAGACACTTTGCCAATGGAGCAAAGACATTAAAAACAAGTGCATATTATCTAAGTATCTTATTTTAGGAGTAAAAATTCTCACTCCATTGGCAAATCATCTTATTTAACTTCTCAAGTTAAGGGGAAATACACTTAATTTGAGAATTTTTCACCTATATTTAGATCGTTTTTGCAGTGAAGTGAAAAAACTTCCAACCATTTTGGTGGCATAATTAAAAATAAATGGTTTTGAAAACATACTTATAAAAACCCCAGCATACCCCAGTACAGCTGTCCATCCCAAGCACAGACTGGTTGGGAACTATCTGTTTATATAACAGCTTCCTTTTAAGGAGGATTAAAGCTGAAAGCAGAAATGCCTCAGAAGTCAGGAGGACTGGAATTTTAATCTCCACTAGAACATAAACTCGAACATGCGATCAGTAAATGCATCATCCCTAGAGGCTAGCAGGGTGTGTTAATAACAACACTCTTTGGTGTGGGAGTTGGTTACTAAAGAAAAGAGACTCCAAGCATCTGAGGTCCGAGAAGCAGTTTTCCTGGGTTTCCAGGGAAGAACTCCTGCTGTTTATTCAATCTGATCATTTTAAACCCAAAGATTTTTGCCAAGTGACAGGAAAAAAAAAAAAAAAAAATTGTACATCAAGGTGTGGTCCTGTTTCACTTTTTTTGCTTCCTCAACCTCTGAATGTTATGAAACTTGTTGGATGTTGAAATCAGTGAGTTGAATCAAGGGTCAAAGTTCTCCAGGAAAAAAAAAAACAAAGACCAACGCTTACAGCTTCTGAAGCTAACCACACTAACTGCCACCGCAAAAGGGAGTAAGGATAACATTAAATGTTTAAAAAAGTTTTTTTTTTTTTCTTTACAGCAACTGCTCTATTACACACAATGTGATATAAGAAAATCTGAATTTTTTTTTTTTGGGGGGGGGGGGGGGGGGGGGTTATGTGTCAATATTATGTTACAGAACTATTTATAGCTCTGCTGAAGGTTTCACTTTCTATTGAAGCCTGAAAAACAGCATTCATGTTTGCTTCAAAATAGATTCTTTCATCTTCTGTTCTTCAACTGAATTTATTTAATAACTAAATAATTAAATAACCCTGCTGCCTAAGATGGCTAATTTTGAGTCTTCTCTTCTCAGTAACAACAATAAAAATAAAGCATTCAGATACAACATACAAAGATAAATGTCTCTTTCTGTCTTTCTTGTTTAGTTAATAAAGGAAATTTTTATACTTTTTTTAATCATTCTATTATTTCTTATTTTCACTTTATTGAGTTTATACAGCATCAAAATAAAGTTACTTTCCCTTTGAATTAAAATACAAGTCCATATTAACAGAATTAGTTAGTAGAAAATCTAATTTGACTATTTCTTTTCAATTAAACCGATTCCTCCTTCTTTATTGGCTTAAAGTTCTTTTCAGATTAGGAATTCTAGCAGCAGCAAAATCATATCTAAATGTTTCAGTGATGATGTTGGTTTTCTTCTCACATCTCATTTGTGCTATGACTGCTTTGTGACCTTTAGCATTTACAGTGATGTCATTTGTGTTTAGATTCAGCTCTGCTGCTGTGAGACTCTGTCCAGCAGGCTAAATATGGCACAGCAATTCATAACAATTGGACTAAAACAACGTTATCTTCATTAATAGTTGTGGCAGCCTATAAGAAGCTGCTATCATGTGATTGGTTGACATTCTTTCATTATATCTTTTGGGTTTACTTTTATTTTATATATATATTTTGTAAGCAAATATGTGTAGAATGGATCAAAGGCGCCAACTCACAGCATTATTAGGGTGAAAGATGTACGAGGCAGGGGAGTTATCCAAGATGAGGGTCCTGGTGAGGTCCCTGCCCAGACGGCTCAGGTCTTTCACGTAGCAGCCCTGGTGGAACACACAAGATTCCCGGAACAGCCGGGCCCGAAACACGCTGCCCTGATCCAGCAGGTCTGTCACTGGGTCTGCATACTGGGGGAAGAGCGGGGATGTGCGAGGACACACTAATGAAGACCTTTCTACGGATTGTGCAAGCGTTTTATGTGCATGTTAGGGCTTCTAATAAGGTGACTAGCAAGTTGTTAGGCAGTTCTAAAAAAAAAAAAAGAAGGAACTACGAGACGAGAGAAAGCAGAACAATATCTGAAGGATCAGGGGTTAGATGAGCCAAACAACACTTGACTTGCTGACACAAACAGAAAAGTAAAGAAAATAGTAAAGATGGAGTTCAGGATCTGTTTTTGTACCTTAGCAAGACTGGCTGTAAACAGCACACATTCAAACATTTCTCCCATTCTCCGCAGGAACTCATCCACGTACGGCCTCTTCAGAACATACACCTGGAGAGGCACACAAGCTGTAAGCAAAACTGTTTCACTTTCATACAACTAACACTTCTACAAACACACAGCTAGACATCAGCCGCTCATGACCCCTTCCTGAAACAAGTAATCAAGAATAGGCCGTGCCAGCGTGAACCAGCCTATCCTGGATTACTTGAACCAGGCAGAGGCCCACAAGGGATTCCTTAAGGCACATCAAGACCGAAGGAATCACACTTCATTAGGTTTCCACATGCTTATAAACAGAGATGTCCAAAAAAAAAAAAAAAAAAGAAAAAAGCTTTTCCTTTGCAGTTGCTTCCACTTTCTGTTCAACATCTGGCCAGCAGGGGGATCCGTCTGCACATCTTTGGGCCCCAAGACCCACCCCTGTTCAGAAAACAAAAGCCCACCCCACCCCACAGCAAACATGGCCGTTTACCTGGTGTGTGGTCCCCTCTATCTCCACCGGCACGATGAAGTCCGCATTACTAATGGGCTGAAGGGAGAAGACAGAGGGAGAGGGGGGGTTGGCACGCCGTGTACATTCACATGGCATTACATAACAACCGAGCAGCGAGGCGCGCAGTCCAGAGCGCTGTTGTGAATCACAGAGCCACAACCCTGCATGAAGGGGGGATTCTGCCCCTCGGACACATGCAGAGGTTTTTAATGCAGGAACTCTTCAACAAACACCTAAAAACCACAACAGAAAGCGCATCTTTCACGCCAAATAGAGACCGTCTGTACCTTAAATGAGCTGTGCACCAGGGTCTCGTCCAAGTCGATGACCACGCAGATCTTCCCCTGGTCCTCGGCCTTCACCTCAGGCAGGAGGTTAACTTCCGACAGCTGAGGAAACAGATCGGGACTTTATGTGACAACGCTGTTTGGAACACCACCCGGTCCCTATGAGGCAGATATTTATCTGAAAATCAATCCCGAGTAATTTGATGTTCTCTCTGGGAAAACAAGATTAGACGAGTTGAGTTTCAGGAAAAACAGGGAAGATTATCTCCTTTAACGGCACTCGAAGGAAATCTTTACATGTCTTTGGTCGTATTTCTAAAGCCAATATAAGTGGAAAACAGTGCGGTTATTCTCAAGAAATTCACATTTTTACTCTGATGGGGATTCTTTAACATATTACCTAGCATAAAATTAGGTTGAAGAAAGAGTCTTTCTTTAAGAATGTAAGAAGGCCACTGAGAGAAAAAGACCCTCCTTTAACGGAATGGGTTTTATTAAAGCTCTATGGGAAATCAGGCGTGAAGACGCAGGAGAGCTCATTAATATTCCCCCAATGATCCTGTTATGATCATTATTTATCAGCCTCTGCAGAGGATCAAACCTGATCCACAGCTATAATCAGCACCAATGGTCCATTAATGTGTTAGAAACATGAGCAGCTTTGGATTTAAAGTGACGGTTGTACTGTCCTTCATGTCTGCACCTGGTATAGATTTTGTGAGGGGGATGCTAAAAGTCATGGCACATGCCTAAAATCAAGGGTTAACCAAAACCGAATATACATCTGGAGCGTCTCCATTGTATGGTCGCTCAATGTCGAACAGCCTCAGAGCAAAGCCTAAAGAATCAGAGCGACAGAAAGCCATCTGTTTATGGTCCAGCTGGGATGTATAATGAAACCTCAACAAATGCAAACAAACAAAACAAAGGAGCCTGATCCAGAGATGCTCAATTCCTGTTACCTTGACGACCGACCCATTTTCCTGTGACTCCAGCAGGCTATGTTGGGAAGGCGGCGGCAGAGGTGGCGGCGGCGGTTTGGGGCCATCCTGGACTTTGAGGCAACAGAAGAGGGCTTTGAAGATGTTACAGCTCCGTGGCTGTTTCAGGGCAGAGCGGCTCACCTGGCCTGTTCAGCAAAGAGAGAGCGAGAGAATGTAGGAGACTTTTAGGGGGGGTAAGGCTCATAGTGGAAATTTGAATTAGCACCTCACAGCTTACATGGGTTAAACATTGTTTTACCAAAACAAAACAAAAGTGTTTAATTTAGTTTAACTAGATACAATCTGCCTGTAAAATCTGTGTTGAACTTCCTATTTTCCTAAAAAGCACCTACATCCATCTACATACATGGCACAAAGACCCATGCAGAAAATCTGTTTTTAATGTGCATGCCTCCGCTGCTTCTGCTGGAAATGGCTGCTACAGGTTACATAATCACAGAGGGCGGGAAAACCCACAATCTCAGAAAAAAAGAAAAACAGACAGAAAACATCCAGGCTCTTTAAAACTCTGGGGGCCTTTCCTTTTAGAGCTGCCTGAACTCAGCCGGAAACAGCCCCGGTCAGTGAGCCGGACAAACCAAACCACCGCTCGCTGCCTTTGATCGTTCCCCCGTAAAGATCGCCATCCCAGCTCCACACAACACCTGTGCCAAGAAGACAAAGAAAGAGGAGGAAGACATTCTTGCCAGTCCCCTCTGGGGGTTTTACTTGTGAGGACTTGCAAGGAGAGTTTAAAACCCATCGATATAGTTTCACTGTTGAAATAAACATGAAGCGGAGGAACTGTGGAGCAGAACACAGGGATAAAAAACTGAAACGCAACAAACCAGGCTTCCAAAGGCAGTGACAGATTTTAGCTTCTCTTCTAAACCCTTTTCCTTGAAAGAACTCAGACATAAAGTAGCTACCGGTATATCTTTGGCAGGTTTCATGATAGAAGGAGTTCTTCTAAATCCAACTGAAAAATTTGTTATTTTATAAGTCACTTAACTTGCACTTAAAAAAGAAACTGATACAGTTGCTTGAGTTAATAAATTAGAAAAAAATAAGATTTATTATCAGTATCTGAGATGTGGATTACAAATGAGAGGCAAATAAAAAGAGTCACATTCTGATCTGCAGCTGATCTGCTGCTGCGTCTTTAGAAACAAACTGCCTGCAGGTTCTTTAGAGATTAGTCCCAGTTTATGCATTAAATCTATAACATTTATCTGATTTTATTCAGCTTTAAAAAATGCACATAAATCAATGTTTTTTAGCTCTATAAACTAAAAAAAATGGAAGTTCTTGGTTTTAAGCATTTAACGAAAAGGAATTTTGAATTTTTTTTTAAGTATTCGGTTATAGTTGCATCTCAAAAACAGTCAACCTAGAGAATGAGCCCTGATGGTTGTTGCTCTGAGAGCCTAATGCAAACAGCCCTGTTACACAACGCCATGTTCAGACAAAGCACGCCGCAACTCAATACAGTAACTGCAGATAAACAAGCAACCTTTTTTTTTCCCTTTTTCGAAGAGGTTATGGTTAAAGATTTAACTCACACATTCGGCATTTTAATCAGTCTTTTCAAACCCAGGGGAATGAGATGCATGACATAACAGAACTCCCCTTCATGTAAAAAAAGGACAGGAAGATGAGAGGAGATTAATCCCTCTAAGGTTTATCAGTGACAGACAGATGGATCCAAAAAATGCAAAATATCACCCAAAGCCCACACAATCTAAAAAGAAACAAAAAAAAGTAATAATACAAGCCAAAGAATGTGATACTTTGAGGCTGGATTATCTTCTATGGATAAAACATGAAGCAAGAGGGTGAATTAGGAAGGAAGGCCTTTTTTTAAGCCTGAGTAAAGTGTTCAAACAACCAAGTGTTTTAAGCGGCGCTACAGTGGGCGTGATAAAGACGGGAGTGTTTGTGCATTCCGCTGTCCGCAGCGCGACACCTGATTGTTCCTCATTATAACCAGCAGAAAACATCCCAGCATTCATGTGTGGCAGGATGCACACCCAGTTCCTGCTCTGTCTGTCTCATTTGAGTGGAGAATCAGCTGCGACTGCACACATAGAGCTACCGACAGACTTACAGCAACAGAGCTGCTGCTGGGAGGACACTACAAGCTGATTAGGAGAGTATTTTAATGTTATTATGAATTATTACTAGGGGGAAAATGAGCAGTAATCAACATTCACCAGATTTTCAACAAGTGAAATTTTTCTAAAACCCTACAATGGGATTTAAGCTTGTTTATTTCCATTCTATATGTACAACAAAAAAAATCCCCTTGTTTGATTATAATGTTAGAAGATGTTTCATATGACTTTCCAAGTGCTTACTGAGCTACAGCTGTAGGTGAAGCCAGGACTAAGTGACAGGTGCAAAGAAGTATAGAAAACACATACAATTATAATGACTAATATACAGTAATATATACTAATCTATAAGATTCTAACTATTATGATAATTAACTAATTAAATGTATTCAATTAGTTGCAGCTAGGTATGAACCAGTTACATGTATCAAGATTTTATAAGGTTATATTTTCACCATAATGTTTGTTTAAAATACTTTGATAAACACAATAAAGTCCCTCCAAAATATGTTGCTGCACACTGTATATCAGCTGGCTACTTATTGGCAGAAATATAAATAATTATGGCTGTTAGGATACATTTTCACAGATAGTATAAATGCTGTTGTTTGTTGTTGTTTCTCTAAAAATAAAACCAATTAGATATGATTGGCAGATTTACTCACGGTTATCATGTTGGCCAGAATCTAATCCTGACCAAATTTCTGCATCCAAAACCTTTCAAATTTCTTTTCTTTTCCTCTCCTGACCTCAGGCATGAAAATATTATGCATATAAGCAGGTATGAACTGATCAACTCAAAGCTGCTGCGTCCAGAATACTACCTGATAACACAAACATTCACCTAATATCAAGTACGGACATTTTCTTTGGTAGTTATTGAACATGTTGTGTACAAAAGGCATTAAATCACAGTGCTTATTCAGAAGAAGACTGAGCTGAATGTCTCTTTGTTTCTGTATAGAATATTCTGTCCCACTCTTCTTATCGGCTGACATTTCTTAGTCTATAGATGTGAAAAATATGTTGCAGAAAGGATAATCCCAAGTTAAGAGCTTGCATTGATTCTAAACCCCCAAAAGGATAAAAAGATTATTTAACATCCAGGGGTGTCTTCAGTTGGCCGAGTTAAGAGTTAGTGGGTGTGTCTTTGGTGTTCTTTCCATTAGTGTACATCATGTCCTATGCGTTACACATACATGGACGTAAACTTGATTTTATGAATAGCATTTTTACTTTATCATACCTGTATTATTATAAGTATAAACATACCGGTTTGTATTTAAACTATTATATACAACATATTAGCTATTTTTTCCTGACAATATCCCTTGTTAATATATATTAATTTACATTATTTATAAGTTTACAAGCAGATAGCTGCAAATGTACTTTTTAACAAATGATAAAAAAGAAAGTTTAAATGAGTTCTTTACTAATGAGTGGGAAAGTGGACCAAGTAATATGTAAACTAGGCATTAGTGTTGTCTTTTTATGTTTGTTTTTTGTCTCTTCGACTCTTCCACAAAAATATCTATTATATCAACCACTCAAAAGTTTATGGACAGAGGAATAGAAATACACAATAGATTCATAATAGTGAAGGCAGTAAGCAACACCAACACAATAAAAACAATAAAGGTAAAATAGAGCTCTTCATTGATTACACTAAAATTCATGGGAGAGAAATACACAAGCGCATAAAATACTGGACTTTCAACACTCTCACGTGATATTATTTGAATTTAAACTTTCTTCCCTTCCTCTTTCTGGTAAAACAGATTGTTTGGACATTCAACAAAAAAAAAAAGTACTATTACTCCTAAGAGGGGTTAAAAGCATGAGCAGTTCTAGATCATGTCCTGGCCCCTGTACTAAAGACATAATACTAAGAGAAATTCTAATGATGATATGCGCTGGAGCAGACATGGTTTCTGATAGGTCCTTTGGATCTATTTAATTTTTTAAAGATTCTGTTTTACTAATTATTTAAAAACAATAAGGTGATAGCTTCAGTGATGTTGAGATAGGATCACAGTTTTTATCTCTTGTTTATTTTCCAAAACAAATAAAAAAATACTATTAACTTTTACAGCTATATTTATCAGTTTTTCTTGAGTATCATAGAAAACTATCATTTTAATTTGAACTTAAATTAAGTAGAAAATATATAAATGAATGTAGATTGACCTAATATTCCAAATAATAGCTTTATTTGATATTTTATATATATATATATATATATATATATATATATATATATATATATATATATATATATATATATATATTTATATATCTACAGTTTCTTGAGTTGTTTTTTGCTACGCTGAGGGATTTTTATTTTGGTTTTAACGATAATCCAAATGAAAATTTTTGAGTCACAAATAAACATTTAATTTTTTTTATTTTTAATAAATGTTAATTTTTTAATTAATTTTAATTAAACCTAATTGAAGAAATGTCACTTCATGCAGCTCTTTTGCTTCATGCTTTTCTGTGCCCCAATGAAAACACGCTGCCCCCCCCTCTAGCCCCCCAAAACATTTGGTCTAGATCCGCCACTGGTTAAAAAAGGGTGCCCACTGACCCCCCCTTGGTGCCGCCACTGACAATAACATGAAGAGGAGACAGAGATTTGCCCCCACTGCAGAAAGAGACAAACATGATCAACAATAGCTAAGCTCGGGCTGTAATGGACATCGTGAACTCATAAAAGTCTGATGCAGAGCAAATCATGTAAAACACGCTTCAGGGTGTTGTAATATAAAACTGGCGCTGAAGGTCTTTAGCTGTAATTTGATGCTGTTTTTCCTGGCGATTTCAGAGAAAAAAAACAACAAAAAACTCTCAGATAAAAGAAAATCATATTAAACGAGCTGGGCGCGCGTGGGTATTCCACAGTGATCACTTAAGATTTGTGTGGAAAAAAAGGCAAAACAAGGCAGCGCGCCTTTCAGACCGCAGCCCTCAACTGTCAAATAAAAACAGGCGCTCTGAGTGGGTTTTATTAAACACACAGACGGCGAGAATAAACACAACAGCTGTGGGTTAAAATGTTGCCCGGAATCAGCTCACCTGCTTTCGGTGACACTTGGACGTCTTCTTTCTGCACTTGGGTGATAACAGAACTTTCCATCTGACAATCACAGAGCCCTCAAAATCCTCAAATCCTGTCCCCGAGCACTGATGGGCGTCCCTCATTGGGGTTTTTTTAATTGATAAGGCGACTCTAGCAGTATACACCGAGGTTACCGTGTGACCCGCCTCAGTTATGGTCCGGATTTATCACGTCCCTGCCTGCTTCCTTTCTTCTCCAAAACCGCTGCTTCTTGTTCTTAAATCGGCTGCCTTAGGAGGAAGGATGGGGTAAGGGGGGGCGAGGCACTTGGATATGTTTTCCGGAGGTTATCTGACACTCTGCCCGCTCCGTCTCATCGGGTGTACCGCTATTTGGTGGTGATAGCCGCCGAGTAGCCCCCTTCTGCCGTCACTTTTGCACCAACAACATGGAGAATCCAGGCGAGAGAAGGAAAACAACCGAGGAAATGGGGCAAGGGAGGACGGTTTCAAGTCCCCCTTTACTACAGATAAACAACACCGCCCGCACGGTCCCAATGAGCGACAAAAACCCGCGTCTGTCACTCTGAAACGTAAATTCTGACAAAGAAAATAGGATTCCGGGTGATAGTTTGTTGTAAAATGCGGGTTTTGATGTTATGCGGGGTTTTGTTTTTCCACGGACCGCACTCCGGGGTGCCTTGAAACCGTCTACGCTCACTGATTGGTCGATACGAAAGAAGGGGGCGTGGTTACGGCATTCCTCCCTATTTTGCGCGCGCTCCGCAGAACACATTCCAGCGCTTCAAAAGGGCGCGCGCCTTGTTTATTAAAATTTAGAAAATACTGTTATCAAGGTTAGAATATTATATGTTGAAATCCTTTAACTGTAAGCTGAGTATTTTTTATTTATTTCAAATGGGCGCTCTGAAAAAATATTCTTACACAAAAAAATAGTATAAAAAAATTAATGTATCAGCTTACTGAATTCAAACAGTTGAAATATAATTATCACATCAACTGAAGATTAAACTAACAGCAATAAAACACAATTTTGGAAATTATATTTTTAATTAAACAAGGTTGTTCATGTTAATGCTTTTATATATATATATATATATATATATATATATATATATATATATATATATATATATATATATATATATATATATATATATATATATATATATATATAAGCATTAACATGAACAACCTTGTATATATATATATATATAATATATAAAAAAAATTTTTAGAAATGTTTAGGCTGCACAAAATGTTTTTGTTGTATTTTCTAATTTCTAATTTCGAGTTATCAAAACACCTCAAACAAAAACAAAATGTTTTCCTCTGCATTAACATGGAAATTGCTCAGTAAGGGTGCAGCAGAAGACTCTATTTTGCACAAGAGCTCAACATCCCAAGAAGCAAGGTTTTGCACATTGTATTTAAAGCTGAAATTGATTTGGTGCCATCTAGCATGCAGAGTTTGAAAAGCCACAATTTAAAATATTAAGAAGAGAAAGTGACTGGTCTTTACTATCGTAGATTTGCAGGTTAACCAAATTAGGGTTTATTTACTTTAAATTTAAATTAACCAATGATTTACTGTTCCATGAATTAAAAAGAAAACATGAAAAATTATATGAAGTTATGAAAAAATTAAACACATTTGTTTTATTTAACAATATAATACATTCAAAGAGGTAGATAGATGGATCCAGGGTATTTTTATTGTGAAATAAAAAAATGCAGATAGATAGATATTTAGTTATGTTGGAACTTAAAACATAACTGGGGGTTCTGATAGAATATGGACTGTAAAACTAGTTTTGAAAGTGATTCAGCAGCATATTTTTAATCCCTTTGAATGGTACAGACCTAAATCAACATGACATGAATACATTCAACTTAAGATACATGGTTTTGCCAGGAAACCAACCACTTTAAATGACCTTTGCTATTCTATGTCAGTAGAGTCTTGAAATATATTTAACCAGGAAGAGGCCAGAAGCTTGTCCATAAGAGTGTATGGTTTCTAGCTGATACACTAGGATAGCTCAGGGAATTTTTGTCCAAATGTTATAGGGTTGTATGCATCTATTTGAGCCTGTTTGTGTGATTGTGAACTTGTTTGGATAAAAAAAAACTCCTGACACGTTCGAGCTTGTAGACCCAGTGTTTGCTTTTGAAACCTGTTAAAGTTGTGCGTAGTACAAACATTTCAACCAAGAAAGTACAGCTCAGATAATTTATTGGGATTTTCACATATGTGATGAGTGTGTGTAAACATCTGACTAGAACCTCTTTAATATAATATAGGTAATATGATATGTGGACCTGCTATTAAAAGCCAAACCAAAAATAAATACTATCTGGAGAAAAGCTTGAAACAACAAAGTTTCACTGCAACCTTCATAACCTGGAGTTTCTACTTGCTGACTTTTTAAATCTTATAAATGAAATATGAAGATGTTCACAAGAGCCTGCTTGTTGATCACTTACACCAATCACAGATTTAGAAGCACGTGGATCCTTCAAGCTTTTTTTTCCTGCATCTGATTCCCAAATGAACCTCCCCGCGAGGGAGGGAGGTTTGGATTGTGGATGCATCAGGGTTGAGCAAGGAAGGTAAAAGAGGGCAGAGTGAAACCGATGACCCAGGCTCCTTTCATGCTCCTCTCTCCCTCCTTCTCTTCCTCTCTCACTTTCCTTTATTGACACAATCATAAAATTAAACCGTAACTTGTTTTGCCAAGAAGAGAAGCAAAAAAACAACACAAAAACAAAGAAAATGCAGGACTGGGTGAAGCTGGAGGGTGTGGTGTTAGAATGAGACGATGTATTCTCAAATATTTGAAGATACACAATGCAGCTGATACCTTAACATGACGATCTTTGCATCATATCCAAATTTAGATAGGGTTTTTAATCAGTTTGCTGTTATAAAACATGTTTTTAGGTGAATTACCCTGAGCCTCTTCTCCTTATTTACATCTAATATGGCTGGTACTTAGAAGAACTCAGAGCAGGAGGTGATTTTTAATGAAAAACAGGGGAATTAAACAATGAAAAATAAAGTTGCTGTAGAGTTGAGGTAGTCCGCTCCAAGCACGTGTGAGCCCACTACACCACGAGCCCTGCCAGCAGCCACAAGTCAAGACATAAACAAGAGTGGCCCCGCTGTTTGCATTCCTGGTGTTGGACATTTCAAGGCAGCACTGACAGATGTGTGTAAAAATACACACGCCATAAGTACAGACCGCACAGCTGGAAAATGTCAGTCGGTTTGAAGCTGATGCCGCTGTTTACTACCTCGACTTGAAGTCCATTATCTCTGCCTGCTTTTTCTGCTCTGCGAGCTGAGGGGGGACAAAGAACGGCGGCCGGGGTCAGTCGCCGTAGAAGAGGGCCCCCGGGCTGAAGGCTCAGGGAGGGATCTGGAAAACCTGATCAAAACAAGCCACCTTAAACATCACACACCTGTTAAACCCATCTCTCAAAGTAAGCAGGTCGTTAACAACTTTTCAAATGTACTTTTTTTACTGCCCATGAGTGCTCTAAATCATCAAAAACAAATGGAGATTTAAAATTAAAACTTGAAAAAACATACACCGGAAAGCATTGTGTAAATCAGACACAGAAACAGACTTTAGAGAAAAAAAGGAGATTTTGGAATGAGGCAGGGATGTAATGAGGACAGAAAATGAAAGGCTCTGTCTGTTTACTGGTTGCAAATTGATCCCCGGTACATGTAGGACCTCTGTGCGGAATGAAAAGCTCTCTGTGACGGCTGGATATTAACAAGATCAGCAAGAGAAAAAAAATGACATGCCCATCAGGAACGTCCAAATGCATAGATAAACACAACAAAAGGAATAAAAACTGGACACAGATGAACGACATCACTATTCCTGGCCGGCCTAAGAGGTGTTGTGGTGACGATGGGCTGCAGAAAACATTGGACTGCTTCTGTAGCTTCGTTAGGGCTTTAGAAATAATCAACAAAACCTTAAAATCAAGATAAGTAATAATTGATCAACAAGGAAAGTAAAATTAACCAAAAAAGTAATGAAGGTAAGAATGTCTTTTTATAGGCTATTACAAAGGATTTATATTTGTGATGATTGTTAGATTCAGAAAACTATTTCTGATATTTTTAGGAACTGATTGGTCTAAACTTGGAAATCAGAATCTAGAATTAATTCCAGGTTTTTCTGATGGAGCTGATGGAGATTTGGACATGGATTTTACATCTGTTAGCAAGCAGCTAGCAGAAGAAGTGGATTTTAAAATTAGTTAAGGAAAGATAGACTTAATCCATCATCTTTTGTCAGTAAGGCTGAGAAAAATACGTTGAAGGAAATATTTTGACTTTAGAAGGAGGTACAGTTGGGTGAGAAAGAAGTACGGGCCTTAAAATGGATCCCATAAAGAGTAGTAGATGATGGCTTGATCGGAATACAGCAAAACGGTAAGGACCAATTAGGCCTAAGCAGAAGTGCAGCAGTGATAGCATGATAGGAGCTGTCAAAATAGTGTTGAAAAAAAAGGAAGGAAGTAGGCAGGAAAACAATTCTGTATGCAGAGGCCCCCCAATGTTCTTATCTGGGGCTAAGGAGCATCAAATAATCCCACAATCCTTTGTGTGACTGAGTGTGTGAGCACAGCCCATCATGTAGAAATTAACAAAAATACATTACTGTTTTACTAATGAGACACATGCAAATGTACGTATCTTAATGTGTTTTGGTTTGTGTATAGGCAAATTCGGCTGTTTGTTACATTTTTGTAGTCCTTTTTCAGACAGTTGTAGTCCCAGCTTTAATAGCATCAACTATGTATGTGTGTCCATTGGGTAATGACGCCTGTAAGGCAGAGGATTGTCCAGATTCTTCAACCCTACATAGTGATCTTAGTGCTGATCACATTAAAGGTGAAATACCAGAGGCTACAATTTGCTGTTTTTTTGGGTCGAGCTGATTATAATTCTCATTCAGAAAACGTCAGCCCAGCTGTGCAACAAACAGAAAAAGAAATGAAAACACAAAAATTACATCTTTACTTTCAAATACAAAAGATTACAATGAAATAAAAGCTTATGTTTGACCTTTTTTTTTATCATAACAAGAAATCTAAAATTTAAGTTTAATTTGATTTTTTTTAATTTTCCAACTAAAAAAAAATGATGGAAACATAAAATCACTGGGAACAAATAACAAAAATTTGCCTTTTTTCTCTGATATTCAAACTGTCCTTACACTGTATATGTTTCAAGCCATGACTGTCAGTAACACTGGTCTTACCTGCCATCTAAACATAATTTAATTACTTATCCTCATTAAAGCTCTGATAAATTTTGGAGATTTTTTTCATTTCAATTACTTCTGTTTATTTACATTAGTCTCTCCCAGAAACAGCGCCTCCCACAGTCAAATGTTTCCTAATTTAATACACATAGGAAATAATCAAAATTTCTTTTTATTGGATATCTTAGAAGTTTTAAACTGATGTTCTGTACAAAAAGTTAAGTATAAAACAACTGATGCAGTAAAATATCTCTCAAAATTTACTAAAATAATGCATCAATGGATGCCCTTTTTGGCCACAAAAACATGAATGAAAACAGTGCTCTATGGAAATGGAAGCCTTATGGGCCTACAGAGCCGAGAAAAC